TTTGAATTTGCAATTTAAAATGATCTCAGAACTTTGACATGTTGTGGCAAGTCGTACTTTCACATTTATGCACCATTGTAGTTTTATCTCTAACCACAACTTAACTGTTCTAGCTATGTGAGATATTGCCAACCGATGTTTTCAATTCTAAAGTGTCATGAATAGTTTGGACATTGTGGTGGTGCCTCCTGATGTACTCTAAACAAGTATGGTTCTGGGCATTGAATTATATATTTCCAGGTGACAATGAACTATCCAAGTTAGTGTATAATTCTAATCAGTGTAACTAGGAAACTTAGTTGTTTATTTGGCTGTTGGGGATCCTAAAATCCCATTACGGTCTGTTCAGTCTACTGCTTTTTTTTTTATTTTTTATTTTTTAGAGAATGTCAAGGCAACCACTAGACTTCTGCCAGCCAGTCACTTAGCTGCCATCTCCGCTTGAAAATGGCATGAATCATTTACTCAGCACCGATATTAAGATTTCAAGGCCGGGTTGTCACCCATTAGGGAAAATAACACCTCTGGCTCTTTATCTGATAGATTTTGAGTGGGTAAAATTGACCATAAATTTTGAACACAGTCATAAACGTCAAGGAAAGGGTGGAAAATAGACAGACAAATTCCTCCAGCCTAATGACACTGGAAATGATTACTAAAGATGTGTTAAATGGAAAGTGAGAGTTGAACTAGAGGATGTAGAAGGGGGGGAAAAAGTGAAAATTAAAACATAAAATAGAGAGGGGGCTGTTGGATGGTTGAAGAATGACGGTAAATTCCCTTTGAGTTCATGAGTGATTGAAAGAATGAAAAATGAGCGAATAGCAGAAATGCAACATGGATCACGCTATATGTGTCTGAGGGAAGAAAAGACTGATGAACCTTTATGAAACAGCACCAACATACTGGTCAATTCGTTACATGAGCCTTGCTAGTAGGAGGGTTAGACCCCCTGTTTTGAACTTATTTTTAGAAGAAATTTTGATCAGATTCTTGGGTAAACGAGTCAAATACAACACAATATTTTGTAGTTGGACAGTTTTGTCATTGGTTCTAAGAACAAAATGTACTAGTGCAATCTGTACAATATGTCTGAAAATGAATGTATGTCAGTTTGATATCCACAAAGGATCCACTTTACTTTTCAGATGTTTTCACTGCAGTGACTAATTTCTGTACATCCTGGGAAAAGTTGATGTGCTTTTTGCATAATTTTGTTTAGGTGTCTTGAGATTCATTATTTCATCTACAGTTAATGTTTTCAGAAATCTAAATAAATGATAACTCACATAGAGCACCAAATTTCACTCAAAGATGTACACACTCCATTAAAATTGAAGGACTTTTGGATGTTTCAAATGATTTGAGTCCTGTAAAAGTCATTTCAGCATTGATTAGGGAAGCTCTGACAAAAACTAGATGTTTTTAGAAAGCAAGACAAAGCACTGAAGAAGTTGCAGGAATTTCCAGGGTTGTGTCTTAGGAGTGAAAAAAATCTCCTGTTGTCTTCAAATGTCTGGAACTACTAAGATAGTAAGGTTATATGACAGAACGTTGTGGGAAAATATGGGTTATGGTGTAACAGAGGTTAGTTGTTTTTATTTTTTCATCATAGTGAGTTCAAGTGTACATCCAAACCAACAAGAAGTAGATTTCAGCAAAGGACAGGTAGAGTTTTGGAGTGGTCTAGCTAGAAAATCAATGGGATTTCCTAAAGAAAACTGTGAATAATGCATGTACCTCCAAGCTGATAGATTTAGACAACCTTAGTAAGATAGAGCAACTCAACATTACCCAGTCAAAATGCTCCCAAAGAAAACTGAAACTCCTGAAACGAATGTGAACAGACCTTGAAAAAAACACAATCACCCTAGTTATTACATGTTTGGTTTTTTTTCCACATCCTTCCACCACAAATGCTTGTTTTTCCAGTAGAATTGTACAAATTATGCATGTCACATTCAAGGTTATGGTCAAAGTTTTGAATTATTGCTTATTTTCAAGACACAAAATCTTTAATTAAACCATGGCTGTCTATGTTCTTTAAGATCCATTATGACCTTGTCAAAAACTGTGACTATTAGTGAGCAGCAATAACTTATACATTATTTTAATAGCAGTTTGCTTTGACACAGAATTAAAAAAAATGGTCTACAGCATATTTAAGTAATTGTTTTTTAATGTTTTGTGACAACTGTGAAAGTGAAGAACTAAAAGCTACAAATAGTAGCCTGCAACAAAAGCATTAATTTACTCAATGTGAAAGTCGAAAATGCACTTTTAACCTCAAGCGAGGAGCTGACAAATGGTTCTAGAGAGACATCAGGAAGCCAGAGACGAAAGGCAGGAAGCAAAAGTGAGCAAACTCGAGCAAGCTGAGCGAGGCAACTCAGGAGAGAGGCAACCTCGTCTTGTCAAGTAGAGAACAATCACAGAGAGGGAAGGAGGCAGACGAGCACAAAGAGAGGAATGGAAGGAACCTGACCATTGTGTCATCTGGGATCACTGAGCACTGTAATAGGCTTGAGTTTTGTCAGTCGGGCTCAGCGCGGGTCGACTCAGCTGCGGATTCCTCCATGCCAAAAGCAGCGCCTGGGAATAGGATTCCCCAGCGGACCCAGGAAATCTGAGAAGGTCTCACTTAGCTGGCTCTGGATGAAAGAACATTTGAAGTCTTGATAACTGGCATGTTCTGCATCCGGTGCCTCATAATGAAACGTAAGAACACCTGGTGTTAAACTTGATGTGCAATTCATATCATCGATTGCTCCTGTGTAATTTAGTCCAGCTATCTTTGTTTTATTGCAAATAAATATTTAATTTGACCCTTAAAATGCTCTCGCACTGCCCTTGAGAAAAACCAAATACACTCACGTATTTTCAAGACAAAGCCAATTCTGCAACTTTTTATTTAGTTATTATTATACAGCCTTTCACAACTACTGTGTTTTCAAATCGCAACATGTGTCTGTTTGAAATGATCTCATGTGCCTTTTAAGATTGGTCCAGTTCAGTTTTGGCCGATGTAGGTTTTGCTCTTATTGCACTTATTTTAAGAGATTTCTTACAACCAACAAAGTTTTTGGAATGGTCTTTTTTGTTTTTAGAGGTTTCATAAACATCAGACCATCTTATAAAAGATCTTACAGCCGTGTGAAATAATCTCATTCAAGTTTGGCAACTGTAGTTATTTCAAACGTTGAAGTAAAAAGGATCAAATGCAGTCTGGGCTCTTGAAACACTGACAGAGCCTTTTAATTTCACTTCAGACCAAAGACTGAGAATCAAATACTAACTTTTGCTTCACTAGGCACCAGTGACGCTTGCTGAAATTTTCTTATAGTGGCTAAAATGTACACAATACTGGACAAAACTCTCATTGACTGGTTATACAGACAAGCAACCGCGAGGGAAATTACACTTTAAAACTTTAAAAGTAATGATCATTTTTTATTTGTGCAATTTAACATGTTTTTATCTTCAAGATCATGACACCCTGGGCAATGAGCCATAATACCTATATCATAAACTGTGGCAGCAAATGGGTTTTTAAACAAGCAGACTCAAATGAGAAAACTTTGTGTGTGTCAGTCCCTGCATACAGGAAACACACAGGGCAGCCTGTGTCTGTGCTCTGAGGCCTCTCAGCTGGACTCACACAGATTTAAACATACAGTATCATGAAACAGCAGGGGATGAATCCTTGATCCCTGGGACTAATCCGTCTGCTTCTATCTCGCACTTATCAGGATCAGAGCTATCCTCTTTAACATCACCCACCGCCTTTCCAAACAAAAGGCAAGAACAGCAGTGGTAGGCGACAAAAACATCCTTAGTGCATAACAGTCCTCAACCAGGCAGACAGAGCTCTTTTTAAGTTGATAAAATTGTGTTTTGATATGTTACCTATGTAATTTTAGTGCTATTCTTTCACATGCCACAAGCAATATTTATTTTGTAAATGGTTAAACAAGATAAACAATTGGTTCAGGAAGTACAACCTGAAACCAGTAAAAATCTAGTCTTATAAAAGCAATAGAATAGAATCTGGTTGTATTTACAGGTTATTTAGATATAACCTTTTTAGTCCCACAGATTCAGGTGTTAAAATGTAAAAGGCAACTACTACCCACTTATTATGTAATTTTCTATTTATAATATATAGCTACTTACCAAATTATTCTAAATGTAAAAAGTAGCTAATTTTAGCTACTTAAACATTTATTTCAAAACTGTACATGAATATGAATGTACAGTACAAACGAAATGTACAAACGAAAAAGTATTTGACAAATTTCAGGTTTTGTCAAAAATCTTAAATTTTTATATTTTTCTGAAATAATAATAATAAAAAGTTGTAACCTACTGCTGCTAACTTCGTTTAAAACTATCTCATTTGTGAGCGGTATTAATGTCTCTGCTAAAGCAGTGAAATGGAAGCGTTACTGTCGTCCTTGAACAGCCAAATTTATAGGAGCGTCTGCGTTACACTTCTGCTTCTTTATTTTGTTTTGCTTTTGATTAACACCTGCTGTGACAGCTGCAGAGTGAGCAGTAAATTGTGTCAAAGGACTGTTTTCCATTTTGAAGGGAACACCCAAAGCCAGAGGCTGGCCTTTTGCTATTTTGCTGTATAGCTTTATTGGTCTATTCAGCTTGTGATTATGGGTGCACTCCTAAATTGTTTGGGGATAATGAAAGATTTACGACATAAATGGAAATGCCCATCTGCATGTGACACCAGACAGCCATTTATCAAGCTTTCTAAATGACAGTGTTGGCAGTGATATCACAGTGACCGTGATGAGACTCTAACAGTTAGCCGAACGAGAACACCCGCACATTAAAGGGCTCGTGTTTGCCTTGTAAATCCAATTTATTAGCCAAAAACAGCTTTTGTGTTTTCTAATGAGACATTCAGCTCTTCCAGCTCCTCGTTCATTTTTACGCTTATGCCACCAGTGGAGAAATCGAAGACTAAAGAGTTTTGACGGGCTCAAACAGACTGCGTGAGATCATCTAATTTCCTTCTGTTGTCTCATTTTTTTTTTTTTTTCGCTCTTCCTGTCTCTCTTGTGTTCCCTTCAGATGAATTCAAAGCCTTCCTGAAGCGGCTTCCCACCGACCGATTTTTAAATGTGTCCACGGTTGCCAAGTTCTGGTCAGCTGACCTGCCCCTGCAGAAGCGCTATGCTCAGCTGGAGGCCAGCACTGTGCTGGTCTTGGGAAAAGCCCAAAAGATAGTGAGGAAGCTCTTCACCCTGAGCAAACGCTGCCCCAAGCAAGCCCGCATAAGTCTGCCTCGAGAAAGGTAAGCTGCTACACCGTCAACTAACACACTAAAAGATTACAGTGTAATTTGTTACAGCTGAGACCTAATGTTCATCTTTTAAATCATCTTTAACTTTTTCTCTCTTTCGTTTTCTTTCTACACAAAGAAAGAAAACAATGCTGTTTTTCTAACAAATAAAAATCAGCATATAGGTGCTGAAAGCCTATATTTCCCATGCGGCACAAACATTTATGCATAGATTTAATATCTTTGAGACTTTGTTTAAGCTCAGGATGCAAAGAAGGAGCTCACCGTAATTAACAGACATTTGGCGTGTCAAAGATTTAATCATTCCCTTTCTTGTCACTTCATGATGTTGCTGAACAGTCTGGAAAAGGAATGCTGCTTAAAATCCAATCCAACCCAACATCCAGCAGTAGGCAATTTTTTTTTTATAAGGCATCCACTTGTTTGAGTTGTGATTTTTGCCCTGTTTGACTTCTTCCCCCTGTGCCAAAGCTCCAGGAAGAAGAAATTGTTTTTTTCCCTACTAGCCTAAATTTCTTATGCCATCAACTGACATGTTTCCATTAATTAGCCAAATAATGGCCTAAGTATTTTTTTTTCTTTTCTTTTTTGCCTAAAACATTGTTTAAAAAGAAAGAGGTGAGATTTCTATTGTGCCAAAATCACTTTTGGCAAAAAATGACTTTTAAGGCCATTAATTTAAGAATGTGACGATGTTGAACATGTTGCCATTTAACTTTTCAGGGAACAGAGAAAATGTCCACATTAGTCGTTTGTCTTGTCACCATGACAGCCCATTTTTATGTGGACCACATTAATTCACAAGCATTAAGTGCCCCAACTGAGGCCCCCCAACACTCAGTTGTGGTGTTGGGGGGCATTTAATGCAGAGATATGTAAATATAAAGAGATATGTTATCCTGCTATAAAGTTTTCTTAAAGTTTTCCTCTTCAAATTATATTTTGGAATAATTCCATTGTGGATAAAGACGAAACATGGAAGGCTGTAAAAAGAAAGAGAACAGAAAAAAGTTCTCAAAACAGGAAATTGGATGTGATCAAGCTGGAAGGAAGCAGAAACAGTAGGGAAGCATAACGGACTGGAACACACTGATCTGGCGAAGAACCAGGCAAACTGAGCAGATAATACGGGGAGCAAGGTAATGCCCGACACAAAACCAGTAATTGCCAATTAGAGACCGGCGTGAGGCAAAGAAAGGATGCAAAACTAGCTGGAAGCACAGCAAGTCAAAAATATGACTGGGTTCAGGAAAACCAAATTTAAGATCAAATAAAAAGAAGTTAACTAGAAAATCAAGCAGACTTTTAAATAGCAGTTGTGAATGATAAAAAAAGAAAAAAAAGAAAAAAGTTGTTGTTTCCAAATGTTCTGGCTTAACAATGCGAGTACAAATGCATTTTTCCTGTTCATACGCTCAGTAGCATATCTTTTATTTCAAAATTAACATTATGACAACAGAGATTGCAATTTGAACTTTTCTACTCTGGGGTACGTCGGGTTAGGTTAATCATTCTATACCAGGAGGAAACGGTCCTCCTGCAGACAAACTTAGTTCCCGACTTATATTTTGTTGTTAGTAATTAAAACACCTGAACACAGAGAAGATTTTGGCACATTTAATGTAATGTGTAACTAACAGAATAAGTTCAAAATGTACAGAGTTCCTCCAAACAATGATCAACTGATAGTCTACATCACTGGGAGTAAACAAGAAGATCAAGGGACAAAGCCGAACTAAATAATGACTCAAACATCAAAACACAAGGATCTACTAATATTCAGAAAGTTGGTTAGATGGGTAAATTAGTCTGGCAGGCAATTACTTGGTGCAAGAATGCATCATTTACAGAGAATATCATTCTATGTGTGGACAATGGAACAAGAATTTCAGAGGTAAGTTAATTTTATTGTGAGATGCATTTTAAAATCTTATTGCATTTATATGAACAGTGGTACGTGACTGAAAGGGTAGTTGTCTCCTGACGGCACTGACAGACTTTTCATACAAGCTTTTACTGATGTGTCTTCCTTCTCCTTCCTAACAGGCCTGTTGGCTTTTGGCTGGGCACGGCTCAGTCTCTGCTCTACTGCAACGAGCATGGAGTCCTGGGGACGTTCTCTGAGGAGGCTAAAAGCTGCACATGTCCTGTGGACCAGCCCACCTGCCAAGGAGCAATCCCCTGTGTTGTGGGCACCTCTCCCAACTCCTGCTCCCAGTGTGCCACCGACAATGCCACCCGATGCGGAGCCTGTCACCATGGCAACATCCTCCATCTTGGTTCCTGCCGTCCGAGCGTTGGGGCCTCGCTGGACCATTACCTGAATTTTGACCTGGACATGCCAGATGCTGAGGTTCTCGGAGCTTTTAATTTCCACATTTACGCAAATCCATTAAAAAGGCAATGTGAGACAAAAGATTCAATTTTAAACATATACTCTGCTAACATTTGAGATGTCCTTAGCAAACCACGCACCAAGATTACATGCTGTGTAGCCGTCAACAGGTTTCTGGCATAATCATTGGATATACTACATGTACTAGTCTGTCATTGTTTCCTGGGAGTGACATGGTTTTAAGCATAATCCACAAATTCTGAAATGGTTCAGGGTGGAGCTTTGGTAATGCAATTCCAGGGGATTTATTCCGAAACCAGTTTGGATGTGTGTTGAGTGTCATTGTCCAATGGCATCCAGGTTTCAACCATCTGACCTAAACCTTCACCCTTAGAACAAAGGACCTTGGTTTGGATGTTCAGGAACAACACAGGAACCACCAAGGTTCAAACCTTTGAGTTGAGGGTTGCGTCTTCATATTGAACTACTGGCAGACATGGACTGAGCAAATAGTGACCTAGGAAAAAGGCACTTGCTTCAAAATGGACACCTTTAAGCTAGCCTTAAACTTTTTGCTGCCCACGTGGTAAACCCAAATGGTGTCTGGAGAAAATAAATATTGCCATGCAAGGCAAAGACTATGCGATGCTTACCACAACATGAAGCATGTTTGGAAGAGGCATGGTGAGGCTATCAAACTAAATACACTGTACAAGCTGCCAAGCTTGGTGGTGTAAGTTGTGCTGTTTCACAAGCCTGGGAACTGTTGCAGTGCACAACGTGGATGGAGTTATAGAGAGGGAGGAACACAGCCATGGTGTTTTCAACTTCCCCTTAAACCACAAGGTTTAAGGGGAATTAAGGGGATATTGTCTCGAATAACTTTCCAGGAATCCTCCATGGTTGAAAACACCTCCATGGTGTTTTCAACTTCCCCTTAAACCACAATGTATCTGGTTGAAACCTAGACATATTAGATACTCCAAAAGGGTAAAAATCACAAAGACACCTTTTGGAATCGATGGGGCATCCAAAGATCAAGCTTCAGGACTGACTGTGTTCAAATTGTACAGGGTGTGTTTGAAAGGCAAGTCCTTGTTAGGAAGTTAAATCTAAAATATTTACCAAAAAGAGCAGATACAAAGACTCAGGCATAGATATGCAAGAAACTTTGTAACAAAAAAGATGTAATTACAGTGTAATTTCCAAAGGGGCATCTAATCAAACTATTGGTAGGGGTTTATCTTCAAACTGTGACCATATGGGTCACCCATTTTGTTTAATTCAAGTTGTCAGTTGTGTTGTCATTCTAGAAAAAAAGTCAAAAAATTTCTCTTTATGTAAAAATTATGACTTTCATTGAATACTGAATATGTAAGATTTCCAAAGGCAGATTTTATACTATGATGTTTCTGAAACCGTTTCCATGAAGACAGAATCACTAATGCTGTGAAATCCCTTGACATCATGGTCACTGGGAACAAAATAAGTAGATCGAATTATTTTATTTTAATTTATATTTGCTTAGATTACAAAAATTACTCCAATATCATTTTTGCTGTCTTCAAGATCAGAAAAGGTCAGTTTATAGGAAGGTTTTTGAAAGTTCATGGTGACTTTTGGTTTCTTCACATTTTCCATATTTGTGATTATTTTTCAGTTAACCTTAGAGAAATACAACTTCAGAGTCATATCAGAAAATGCATTCTTTCGTGTAAGTACGCTCTTGCTTATCTTCTCGTTCTGTCCTAGGTGAAGTACTTGCTTCAGCGACTCGACAGCAGAATTGAGGTCCACGCCATCTACATCAGCAATGACGTCCGCTTGGGAAGCTGGTTCAATCCTGCCTGGAGGAAAAGGATGTTACTTACACTCAAGAGCAACAAGAACAAATCCAACCTCATCCACATGCTAATGGGTATTTCTTTCCAGATATGCTCAACTAAAAATTCGACACTGGAACCTGTGCCTGTCATTTATGTAAATCCTTTTGGGGGCAGCCACTCGGAGAGCTGGTTCATGCCCGTGAATCAGCCCGAATTCCCTGACTGGGAGAGAACTAGACTGGACAGCACTCCCAATGCGCAGTGTTACAACTGGACACTGTCACTGGGGAACAAGTGGAAGTCTTTTTTTGAAACGGTCCACATCTACCTACGGAGCCGCATCGTCACGGACGATCCGACGGTGAACGAAACTCTCTTTTACGAACCTTTGGATTTGGATGATCAGACGTCAAACTTGGGCTACATGAAGATCAACACTCTGAAAGTCTTTGGATATAGCATGCACTTTGATCCTGAAGGCATCAAGGACCTGATTCTCCAACTCGACTACCCCTACACACAGGGCACGCAGGACGCTGCCTTTCTGATGTTGCTGGAGATGAGAGATCGGATTAACCGTCTGTCTCCACCGGCGCCACAGCCACTTGACCTGTTTTCTTGTCTGCTGCGGCACCGCCTCAAGCTGTCTGCAGGAGAGGTGGCACGAATCAAGGATTCTCTGCAGATCTTCAACTCCAAGCTCCCCAATGCTTTTCCAGAACCTGACCTGGCCCAGCTTTGCAGCTAGCTAGATTAGCACTCTTGGTTCAGGAGTTTTACTGCACCCAGAGTGGAGTTGCTGCTTCATGGACAATCCTATGTTGGGTACACAGAAGATTAACCTACTCCGAAAGTCTTATGCTGGGCCTTTCTTTTCTTTCACTTTTTTCATTGGTTGGTAGGTGCAACTTGTTTCTTCTGTAGAGACTCTGCTTTACCAATCGGATGGAGTACTTTTGCTATTACTGCCGTGCTTTTGGTGAACTCTCTGACCGGACCGGGTCAACCATCTTATCTATTCTCAAAAGTCTGTTATTTTTGTTTGTTTTGAACTGCAGAGATACTGTAATCTCTGCCAAGATTTGAGATTTGATCTTAGGAAGAAGAACTTTAGAGTGGAGTTGGAAAAATGTGTCAAAAGAAGAGGATTTTCCTTTTATAACTATTTTCGTTGGAAAAAGAACAATTGGGTTGGGGATGGAGAGTAGTTATATTATCCATGTGGTGAATAAGTTATGTTATGCTTAACAGTTTGAAATTTGATAACCCTGACCCCTGCTAATGTCTTTGAGAATTTATTTTTAATCCACATCTTCCATTCTATCTGGCATTTTAAAACGTATATCTATTATCATCCAAACGAGAAGCCTGTTAGTGATGTTCTGTTCATGGTGGTGTGTCTGTGCCAAAAGCAGAAGAACACATTGGCAAATCTGAGTGGAAAAAAACATTGGCATATGCTGTCTTTTCTTACTCTTTTAACCTGAAAGTGGCAGAAAGAAATCACGTGACGTGATAACAAGGGGGATCTGTGGATGTAGTGCTGTAAATAATGCTCCATTTAATTCAAGATTGTGGACAAGTGCACATTGCTTTCTAGATAACCGAGTAAAAGACCAAAAAAAATGTTTATAACAAAACAGACTCATGCCTTATATGGAAAGTTAATGTTAAAACAAGAAGCACATTTAATTTCTGTGTTTGGTTTTGAAGCAAAAGGTTGTTTCGCTTTTTATATTTCTACCAGGACAGAACAACAGACAGAATCTCCAGAGTATGTGATGATGTAGCTTTTCTATGTACAGCAAATGCCAGTCACATTTTCTGCTCTTGTTTCAATTCAGTGTTGTGGAGGAATTTGAATCACTTTTCACAGTGCCCACCAGTACTTGCACTATGTAACTGTTCTGCAAAATCTCCAGTTATACAAAATCTTTGTAACTGATGGATCTTTTTTTTTTTTTTTTTGCTTTGAATATGGTTTTCAAAGTTTTAAACAGCTTGGTTTAGTCTCATGTTTTTAAGTCGGTATTTGCTTTTCGTCAATCTAGCTTTCTTTTTTTCTTCTCTCTTTATGTGGGTCACACTTCTAGCAGCAGTTATCACGGCAAACGCACGGTCAGAAAGTTTATCTCGGGCAGTAAGGGTCCCTTCAGAGTCGCAGACTTACGAGTATGACACTTGATATGATGGTACATTTACTTTGCCAATTTCTCACAGTAAACCCTGTATGTCATTTTCAGCTGTTCTGTGCTCAGCTTGCTTAAGTAAAAGCAAAGTGTTTTATCTACTTTGGAGTTTGTTCTTAATTTCTAAAAAAAAAAAAAAAAAAAAAAACCTGCTTTCAAAACCTTGTATAAGAGTAGATTATAAATGTTGTTTATTGGCCTCTGACTCACAACTTATCAGCCTCAAGATAATACACACGTCACATTTCCACAACAATCTAGGAAATATAGCAGCATATCTTCACACACCATTGAAACAAAAGGGAGACAAGCCATAGAGTGACGAGGGTGAGAGTTTGAATAATTAAAACGCAGAGAAATGTGTAACCATTTCTTCTAGCTGTTTGCAGTTGGCATGGTAACTTAGCACGACATTTAACAAATTACGCAGAATTTCCTATTTTGAACTCGGAAGGAGTTCAGCTCGGGTGCGACCTCGTTCCCAGATTCAAATTTCAACTGGCCAGGAAAACTAAAAGCTGTAAGAGAAAAGCTTTCAAAGAAATACTGAAGAATGTCACGAAGAGCTTTTTGTAATTGCCATCATCAATATATCCTCCATATATATTAATATATGTTCAGTCACCTTCTAGTGGTAGAATGACTTGATTCTTCTAATCAAATTAGTCAAAATTATTTCTCCCAATGGTTACTATCTGATTTTTTTTTTTTTTTTACCCCAGGAAATAATGTTAAAATAAATGTAAGAATAAGTCACTCTTCCGAAACAGCTCTTTGGAACAGATAGATTATCTGAATTACACTTGATTATATTGCTTTGAACAAAACCACTGATTGGCTAAAAAGTTGCTCTCCTTTACCATTTGATGACCTCTGCTTTTTATTGCAGTGCAAATTATTAGGAGACTAATCACTCCTCGCGCTCATGAACATGCTAAGCATCACTGTGATTGACATTGCAAGATCATCTTTAGTTATTTTACTCCTTGAAACAGTGAAAGGTCATTTTTGCTGGAGTTGCATAAGTTCGTGAACTTGCTCAGTATTTTTTTTCTAAGAGAAAAAACAAGAAGTAATCTGCAAATTAAGCATCGGCGCCACTTGCTAAAAACACATTATCCTTCTGCTCCCTTGTTAAACCTCCTAATGAGTGAATAAAGAGAAGCTTTCAAACTGTTTTTCCACAAGAAGTGGGATTTTTTATTTTTGTTTGAAATTTTAATTTAGAAATCATTATTTTTCAGGTTTTGTTAAATAAGTTTGTGGTTCTTCAAAAAAAAAAAAAAAACTAAAGCACAATTTTGTGTTCATAGTATTACAATAGCAAAGTTAAGAAATTCAAATGAATAGATTGTCTCTGCTAATAAGTTATCTGTTAACTTTTATTTGAAGGTTGTTCTTTTTTCTATTGCCATTTTCTTAAATTCTGAGGTCATTAATATATTCCAGTCATTTACTGTGCCGGGGTTCTCTTATGACTTGCTCAAGGCCAGAGATCACTTTAGTGAAATTTATTTAGCTTTTCTTCAGGTGAACAAAGATGGCAGGTGCAGAATACATACAAGGACGTCCAAGGCAGGTTAAAATCAGACAAACAGCAGTACCTTCAATGCACGAGTCAATCACCTTCTATGTGACGTCTCAGGAGTCCAGCCACAGACTGCCCCCCTGTGGCGCAGAGCCCTGCTTTTAAAGCCACAGGCTCCGCCCACAGAAAGACCAAACAAGCAAACAAAAAACAAACAATTACTTCTAACTCAAGTAAACTCTTAAAGGATACATAATAATAAAAAATAAATAATAATAATAATAATAATAATAATAATAATAAAGAGAAAAAAAATAAACTGGTAATCAAAAATACCATACTCAATTTAATAGAAAACACTCAGTACGTTCTGATGATTACGTCATCACATGACTCCCTCCTGGTGCGCCACAATCCGGAAATAACCCTGCTTGAAAACAAAACCGGGAACATGTTTGGAAGTGAAAACAGGTTAGGATGGATACGCTAACTGAAGCAGGAACACCGCGTGTGCACCCACGATGAACCGCGGCAGTTTAAGCTGCAACAGAAGTAAGTTAGCGATTGCGTGTATGTGTGTGTGCGGCGTGCTCGCATGTTGACACGGACTTATAACATATTCATAACTCCGAACTAGGTATCATCCTATGTAGCATGTAGCTTAACAATACATAGATAAATGAATAAAAGCTTATTATTCCTACAATTTTCTTTTCCCCATGAACAATAAAGCAATGCTGCAGGTATTTCAGCTGTGGGTATTTGCAGACCTGACCAAGCGCACATCCAGTGTCTGTGTGGGTGTGTGTGCTGACAAGCATGACTCCGATGTGTAGGAGGCACAGGGACCGACTGAGGTGCGCGTTAGCTTCAACATACTGAGTGCGTCCACTCGGTGAACTATTATCATTCATTAGAGCTGGCTGTCAACCTTCCACTCACTCTCTCACCTTTTCTCCGGCTCTTCTCTCTCGTAATGCCCTTCAGCAGTCTGCTAAGAGCTGTCATTCTGTCAGCCTTCCATCAGCCTATTGATTCACTGATCTTTGTTAGACCACGGGCAAATGCTTGCATGTCTATTTTACTATATAGTACCACTTCTTTTTTTTTTTTTTTTTACTAATCCATCCACTACCTGATGGATTCTGTAGCCACAAAAACTCAGCCAGACTACAAAGAAACATTAGTGGTGTTGCATAGATTGTTTTAAAGAGATGCTTTTTCAGTTTTAAAGGATGATCTTTAGACTTTGAAGCCCTTTTATTTTGCTTACTCTGACTTTGGCTTCATGTCCCCCCCGCCAACCCCCTTTTATTCGATTAAAAATACTTTAGCATTTATGGAATGCTGACTTGTCCTTTCCTACTGGAGCTGTTGGCTCACAAACACTAAGAATGCCTTTTCAAAGATCGGGATTGGGGGGGGGGGGCACAAAATGTGTTATTTTGAAAAACAGAAAAATAAAAAGAGAAGTTTTGTAACTAAAAAAAAATATATTGGACTGGCAGGTTTCAGACAAAACACATTCTATCGAGAGAGCAGAATGGAATCGAGAAGCAAGCAGGAAACGATGTGAAAAGAACAGATCGATATGAAGAACTGAGTCCAGAAACGTACATAAATGGAGAGCCAAGAAAGGTGCAACAGCAGGACAAGAAGAACTTGACAACAACCGTAAAACAGAGGGAAACTAAGCAAAGTAAGCATGACATGACTAAAACAATTATAAAAACATGACACAACTGAGAAAAATAACAGCTCAAAGTAATTGCAACAAAACAAAGCCAGTAGATCGAACATGCACATAAACAGTGGTGTGAAAAAATGTGTGATCCCCATTTTTTGCATGTTTGTCACACTTCAGTGTTTCAGAATTTCAAACCAATTTAAATATTAGTCAAAAACAACCTCTGATGTAATCATATTTAAGAAACAACAACAACAAAACAGATAGCACACATACCACGTTCTAAATAGCCTCACTCATTATCCAAATAAGGCCATTTTTGCCAACGTACATCTGCCTGTCTGTCTTGATTTAATGAAGATTAGGACTGGCCAACCTGAAGCAGTCATGAAAACAATGTCTCTGGATGCTCAGTGTTTGAAAGTGTTTTCTGTCCACCTTTTTGAATATTCACAAACCAACAACACAATTAACATGAGCAGGGTATGAAGACATTTCTCTTTTTTCTTAAGCAGGATGGACGTCACTTTGTCTTTTATTTTATTTCATTGTTTTTCCGGGCGCCACTGATTGGTGACTCATTTAAAAGTTCCACAACTCTAACATGTCCTTTTTTTTGGTTCAGTGAAATGTTTGCTTTCTAACCAGAACTCGTCACCCTAAAAAAAATATATAATATATACATATATATATATATATATAGATATAATTTTTTTTTTTTTTTTGGACAGTAGGTAATAAACTCTGTCTTCAGCGAGCTTTTGATTTGATTCTTTCTTTGATACATTTTCATCAAAGCTACAGTTTTTGTGGCAGTGAAACAGTTACAAGATGACAGAGCCCCTGCTATGTTTTATCAGAGGTTGGATGATTTTTCACCTGCAAAACTGATGCAACACCCTAAATGTTATCCCCACGGCTTTCTCTCCTCTTTGAGAATTTCGACATGAAAATTGTTTAAAAGAAAAAAAAAAAAAAAAATGTTTTTCCTGAACTTCTTCATTTCTGCTTCCTCTTTCTTTAATAAATGATGTGTTGAAATTGTCAGCGGGTGGTTTAAACACTTGAGGGTAGACGACAAAAGTGAAGACCAGCTAATTTATAAATGAAAACCAGAAAAATTAATCGAATAGATACTTTCTTTTTCCTTTAGCTTTCTGGTAGTTTTAGTTTGTTGAGTCTGCCTCGGACCATCTGATTGTTTTAATTCAGTAACACGCATTCAATACAGGGTATTAAAACTGCAAATTTTAATAACTTGTATTGAACAGACATTGTGTTTTGTAGGAGCACAAATCAAAATGTACTCTATGGTAGTGATGTGGAAGGAAAATAAAATTATCAGACGTTTTTACATAAGGAGGAGTTTTGTGGAGATGGGCGGCGCTTTATGAGATAAAATGTCCCTGAATGACTTCAAGTGGGATTCACGGATTTCTCAGACATCCATGAAAGAATCAAAGCTACACTCCAGATATGATTTTGATGAGGGAGTAACATCATAACATAACATAAAGCTCAAAAAGGCCATTTTTGAGCACAATATTCCCCACCTTTAACTTGGATTATAAAACTTTACTGCAATAATAACTTTTTTTTTCTGCTGCTGAAGTGCTGCAAAGTCCTACTTTGCCTTAGATTTTACTTTTGACTGACCCTCATTTCTCACATATATCTCTTGCTCTCACACCGCTTTGTCACTGAGAACAACAAGGAAATGAGAACAAGCAGCGCGTCTCTCGTTTACTGGGTTTTGTCCGGTCCAACAGAGGAACAAATGCAGCTCGACCGTTGAAAAGGCTCATGCTGGTTTTGCCAGAAATGTATCGGAACACAAAGTCCGCTGCAGCTTCTCCCTGTACCTGGCAGCATGCTGCAGCCTATGT